GCCGCGAAAAGGCTTGCCGTCCTTGTCCGTGTGAAAACGAAAGTCCTCCGAGGTCTGACCATTGTCTTCTTCTTCAAACTCCTCGGATGTCATGTACCCGTATCCCCTGGTTGGCTTCTCCTTCTTCTTCGGCTCTGGGCTGGCCTTCGGATGGTGACCCCTTGCTGACTTTGGGTAACAGCGGTCTCGCGGACATGTCCCGCCGTCAACAGGTAGTGCACCTCCTAAGCCGCTGTGTTTAGGAGCCTCCGCCGTATGAGCAAATAAGGTTTCTGCTGCTGTAGTGATGGCATCTGACGAACTGGATGCTTCCTCCTCCAACATCACGCATTGGCGAGAACATCCTTTCTTCTTCACCGGCTCGCCCTTGAAGAAATGGCTAAGCCGCTTATACACCTCCTCTTTGTTTCCGCTGACTTTCACTCCCCAAACGTCACACTCATGCTGTAGCTCACGAAGATTGAGCTTCTCCAAAGCAGGCCGCACACCTCGAAGGCTCCTCACCTTGGTCACCGTCACACTTGCTTTCTCCTCAATGACCAAAGGCATCTGACGCACGTCCTTCTTGAAGTTCGGCGGCATCTCGAGTGAAGCGGAAGCCCCAGTGCCCGGCAAAGGCACCTCTGGAGTCTCGGTCACATAGCTCCAGCTGGCTTCTGACTCATCTGGGGAATGTGCGACCTTGCGCTTGAAATCCAACTCCGTGAAGCCGCTGTCCTGCTTCATGTCATTCTCACCTTCTTCCACATCATGCCCAACCATGTAAGCTGAGCCATCCAGATCGAGCTGATCATCCAAGGTTAAAAACATAGGCTCTTCCGACACGAGAAAGGCCTTGCCGGCTTTCTTGCCCTTGCCTTTCCCCTTGCCCTTCTCTGAATGCTTCTTCGGGCCACCCTTTGAGGTCTTGTTGCAAGCTGAATCTCCGGCCCAATGGCCAATGCGGCCGCAGGCGGAGCATCGGGATCGCTCCTTCTCGCGTGCAACTGCTGCTTTCCTCTCCTCAAAGGTGAGCTCGCCGCGAAAGAAACCTCGGGATTTCTGCAAGTCTTTCAAACGCTGTCTGGAGTCCGTGTAAGACCGTCGCTGCTTATCCATAGCAGCATAGGCATCATAGATTTCATCATCATCCGAAGCACCTGCGTCTGAGACAGCTTCTCCTTCTCCTTCGCCAATCTCATAAGCCATGTCTTCCTCCGCTGGCTGCTCCCCGAACTCTTCAAACTCTTCCAACTCCGGGGCTGCTGGCTCATCCTGAACAAACTCATCTGGCTGCTCAGTGTAATTGGCGAAACCGCGTCTGTGCTTCCCATAGCCCTTGCTAGGCCGTGACTCCCATGCCTTCGAAGTCTTCTCCTTCTCATGGATGTCGTAGAAACTAATCCGCATCGCCTTCTCGATCTCATCCAAATCATATTTGGACTGGCTGCTGAGCAAGATCTGTCTGCGATCCTCCCGGCTGAGGTTGCACTGCTTGAGGATGAAGTACGAAAGCAAATCGTTTGACATCCGTGTCTGATCATCCAACTCCTGCAAATCTCGCCAGTCTTGCCGTCGCTGCCGCAGATACGCATCCAATAAGGCTTGACCCTTCTTGCGAAACCCGCGCTCAAAAAAGCGATCAAACTGCTCCGTCTTCTGAATCACGTTGACCTTCTCGATTTGGCTGAGGCAAGCCAGAACGTGCTTGTATCCCTCAACCTCTTGCAGTTTCGGAAGCTCTGACAGTAAACCTTGGCAGCATTGCCAAGCCTCACCATGTAGCCCATCCATGAGCCGCTTTGCAAACCTGCGTTGCTTTCTCTCCAGATCTTTGGCCTCCTTGGCCTCTGTGTCACCCTCGCCCTCCAGCATCGAATAGGCGAAGGTCACCCGGCGCTTGTACTCCTTCATCAATTCCGGTCGCACGCCAGTAAAATGCGGAATGCCATCCTTGTCCACCAGCACCTCATCGTCTCTGTATGGCAGTGAAAAATTCGAAGCCATGGCTGCAACGAAGCTCCGCTACCAGTGCGAAAGCACTGGCAGTGGTAGCGCAAGCTGTTTTCACCACACGAGCAACGAAAGGTATGTTGAGTGAAACATGTCATGCAACTGCTTGGTAAATGATCTAATCTGCTGACTGCTGTGTCTGGCTGCTATGATGGCCGTCCCGCGTTGCCAAGGCTGACATGGACCGATCGCCACCTGTTGACCAGGCTCATATGAGCAGGGGGCCGTTGTGGTTTGGGCCGAGCAAAGCCTCCACAAGCACATGCACTCAGATCAAAGGCTGCTACCTGGAAATACCTGGTTTCTGCTGGCAACTCTCACATATATATATATATATATATATTTTTGCTACTCCCCAAAAAAATATTAATTATTTTATTAATAATAAGAAGAAACCGGCTTTGAACCTGGACAATTGCCAAAATCATTGGAACAATTGCCAAATGTTGGCAAGTTCATTTAGCCAGTCAAACAAACAGTCAGCAAGTCAGCTAATTTGTCAAGTTCTATGGTTGTAGTGCTTTAGCTCTGAAGCCAGTTAGCTAATTGGCTAATCAGTTAGTTGTCTATTTAGCTGCCCAGTTAGTTAGATAATACCCCAATATTCCCCTTCCTTTACTAGCGAAATATTTGGGGAACACTCGGGAGGGTAGTGAGGAAACACTAGGGGTATACCAAGAGAATACGAAAGGAATACTAGGGCAATACTAGGGGAATACTGGGGCAATACTAGGTGCATACTCAGGGCAATATTAAAGGCGAATACTAGGAGAATACGTGGGAATACTGAGGGAATACTAGGGGTATACTCTCAAGCTCAATCTGTCTGACTTCTCTCAGGCTTCCTGACTAGGGCAATACTAGGGAGTACTGGGGGAATGCTAAAGGAATACTGGAAGAATTCTAGGAGAATACTGAGAGAATACTACGGGTATACCAAGAGAACACTTAAGGAATACAAGGGTAGGGGAAATAGCAAGGGAATACTATGGGGTAGTGAGGAAATACTAGGGGTATACCAAGCGACTACTAAATTAACTGAATACTAGGGCAATAGGGGAATACTAGGGCAATCATACAGCAATACTAAGGAAATACGCAGGAAATACTAGGGCATTGTTAAAGGTGAACACTAGGAGAATACAGGGGAATAATAAAGGTGAATACTACGAGAAAACTAAAAACAACTGGGAAAAACTGAAAAAAACAACTGCAAAAACTGAAAAACCAAGGATTCAAGGCACATGCCTGGGGGAAGGGGGGGCCCATGTTCGCTAGAATCCTTGGTTTTTCAGTCTTTTACAGTTTCTTCAGTTTTTTTCGGCGCTTCCTTGAAGAGATGCCCTTACGCAATCATAGTGCGGTTGCTCAGACAATACTACGGGACAAATAAAGGTGAATACTGGGAGAAAACTGAACAAATTGAGCAAACTAAAAAAACAAACTGAAAAACCAAGGATTCAGGGGGACATGCCTGGGGGGGCCCCCATGTTTTCCAGAATCCTTTATTTTTCAGTTTTTCAGTTTTCTTTTCCCAGTTGTTTCAGTGTTTTCAGTTTCCAAAGCGCTTCCTTGAAGAGATGCCCTCACGCAATCATAGTGCTTGGTTGCAGCATTTGCTACTAAATGAAAGGCTGTTGACAGATGAAGACAGTGGGCCTGAAAAGTGTGTGTTCTGGCTCACCCAACAAAATGAGCAATATACTCCCCAATGGCAATCTACAGCAGCTCTTGCCCGCCACCAAACACAGCAATGCTTGATGTTGATCCTTTCGAAATGAATCCCAACATGTACCTAGACTCTCCACGGCCATTTAACGGTTGGTCATTACCCAAAAGAAAAAGGTCATAACCAACCATTTTTAAGTCACAAGGAGACTCTAGGTAAAGAAATTCCAAAACCGAACCCGGCATCCTACTAACTAATTTCACTTACGTATAAAAAAAACAAAAAAAAACACTTACGTATCAAACAAATACATTTGTTGAAAAACCAAAAAATATCCCTGAAATGGTATCTCAGCACTCAAATCCTAAAGTGCCAGATTTCCCAAGCCCAAGTTCAGTCTTAGGAGGCTCTCCGGAGGCTCCACCAAATGACTTTGACCAATTATGATGTTAAGTTTGCCCTTGAAATGTGATTGGTTCCATCCAACAAGTGTCCTCGAACAATGCCATTCAAACTCCTTACTCGGCAAATTCATGGTTTTTCTGAAGGTTTTTTGACCCCATTTGGGCGAGACGCTCAAAACCAAAAACTCTCCCAGAAACCAATTCGTGGCGCCCCGAAAATTTTGATAGATCTCGTTTCGCGAGGGCAGTTTCCCTTTGGGGGGGGGGGAAGTGGAAAAGATGGCTGTGGTGGTCAAAACCGTTTTGGGATCCCATTTTGGTTGGTAGGTGAATTCACCCATTTTAGGCTTCCGATTTTAGTGGTTGGATTGAATCGGATGTTCACTGGGGGGTAACCGGGGTTTTGACCCATGGCCAGATGTGTTCGAATCCCATCTGCAAATTTGACCAGAACTCCAAAAGCAAGAGTTGTTTTTTTCAGGTAAAGGACCTTCACCGTGGGTATGCCACAGCTCAATTGGTGGAACCGCTCGCCATTATGCAGATCCCAGCAGGTGTTTTTTTCCTATAGGTGGAAGATAGACCGTCTGGGGGGGGGGGAGCTGTTGATGGGTGGAAGAGATGAACTCCAAATCCCTAGACTCTCCATGACCCTTTAAAAATGGTTGGTCATTACCCAAAACAAAAGGGTCATGACCAACCATTTTTAAAGGGTCAGAATGAGACTCTAGGTAAAGAAAATCAAAGACCGAACCCAGCCTCCTACTAACTAATTTCACTTACGTATTAATAACATGGCATTTGTTGAAAAACCAACAAAAATAGGTCATGGGTCAGAAGGAGACGCTAGGTGGAAGAGATGAACTCCAAATCCCATGGTCTCCAAACCGAACCGATTTCAACGCTACGATTTCTGGCCCTCCGAAAAGCTCCGCCTGCCGCATTGCGGAGTTTGGCCTGGAAGGCGCCCGCCTGGAGCTCTTTGGCCGGTTCTCTCGGCGGGTCTTGGGGGAGGTTACCAAGTCGGGGCCCCGTTTTAGCCACCATACAAATGGTATATACTATTCACAGTTGCTTTCCTTCTTCCCCGGACAAAAGTACAGAGCTGTTAGTGGCTTAATACCCAAAGCCGCATTAGTTGGCAAAAAGTTAAAGAGCTAACATCCAAGCAAAATGCACAAAACAAAAAGAACCACCATCCACCTCAGAGTACCTTAGAGTCCATATGATTTCTGTAAAACAACCACCTAAGTCCTCGGTGTTCGCCCACCCCCTTGGACCACCTTAAAGTCCATATGACTTGTTTGGAAGAACCATCCAAGTCCGGGTGTTGAGAAAAACCTGGACTAAACCCACCTTGACGGGAAGCTTAGGAAGGAGCACACGGGGGAAAAGAAAGGTTAGACCTTGTCGTTGCGCTTTGGAGTGAGTCCAATACTCACCTGAGTGGATTGGCCAAAGTCAAATGGCAGTGGGTCAAAACCATGTACCCCTGGTGAACATCAAAATCGGTGGTACATGGGTGTGCATCCGCCCCAAAATGTGACCCATGGCCAAATGGTCACAAGTTAACAGCCCAGCAACTCAGGAAGTGAGAACTAGGTCCTCCAGTAGAGAGATTAGAATAAGGGTACCCTTTCTTCCGTAATCTATTTCAGTAGACCAAGAAGAGTTGCTAATATTGAAAAACACCGAAACTCACCAAACTCAAAGTGATTGAAATCAATCATCCAGCATGTTAGAGATCGCCAAACCTGAAAGTGAGCAGACCTGACATAAATAATAAAATATCAAAGAATCGATCTTTTATTGGGGTTCCGAGAACCCTCCCACCTAGAGTCTCCATGACCCTTCAAAAATGGGGTCATTACCCAAAATAATACCCATTTTTAAAGGGTGACAAGGAGACTCCAGGTGCTGGAAAACCTCGAGAAAGAAGCCCCTCGGACGGATCGATCCCTTCGAACGAGTTCGCGACTCGCGACTCGCCTCGGCTTCCTGGCGAAGCTGTTCGCTGAAGCCTGGGAAGTCCTAAGCGGATCGGACGCGGAAGCGTCCGGCAAATAGGTCTCCAAATTCCAGGGCTGCCGTTAGGAGTGTTCTGTTTCAAGGTTAAGGACTTTTTTTGGGGGGGGCTTGCACACACCCCTTCTACATACCCTCCCACCAATTAACATGGAACCTGACAGGGAAATGCTCCCATTTGAAAGGACAATGTTTTTCCAGGACCCGCCTGTCAGGTTCCACGTTATTTAGTGGGAGAGGGCTCGCTCGCCATCCCGGATCATCAAAAAAAGACGGGTCAACCGTGGGTTCTCTCCTTTTCTTCTCGCTCTCTGAGTTGATTGGCAGGAGACCAAACATTTTTTCTATCACTAAAATTGTGCTCCTGAAAAATATGTTGAAGTGCAGCAGCACCCAACGAAAGTACGCAAACTGATTGGTTCAATCGTCGATTGGCTTGTCTGTTGCCATTGAATCCAACCGATTGGAGCAATGCCCGCTTTCCAACAACCATGGACCATTGGGCTCATTTGCGTCAATGGGGATTGGGATGTTCACTGGGGGTACGGGGTTTTGACCCATGGCCATGTGATGTTTACCTTGGCTTGTGGTTGCAGAAGGACCCTATTGTCCAAGAATCATGGAAGCTGAACGGAGGCTTGGTGGAAGACTTCGGTCTTGGGAAAATGTTACTTCCATTTGCCTTTTTCGCCCCCCTGGAAACGCGAAAATACTTCCAGGAGTGATCACAAGTGTTCTTAAGCAAATGAAAGACTAGCAAAAGGGAACCCTATTTGGTTAACCATATTTTTTGGTGCGGAGGTCGCAGAAAAAGAAAGGGTCCTACTGAAATTAAGTGTAATACTGTGGATGGACGAAACGAAATCCTTGCCAGGCACACGTTGGGATTGGCTTCATCCATCCCATCTGGTGCAGGAATTTGTCCATTCAGTTGTTCAGCGATCCGAAAAGTAGAAAAGGAAATACGGAATATGTTCTTCTTGCTTGGTGAGCCTCTTTTAGTGAGGAAGCAACCCAACAACAACGGGAAGACGGATGCCAGTGAACAACTGGATTTATGTGGCAGGTTCTTCGAAGGTTGTCCCTCTAAACTCGGTTCCTCCAAGGTTTTCTGAGAAACAACACGTCGAACCTGTTGAGGTAATGGAAAAGCCGCTGGCTCCGAAAGGGTCCTTTCGGGCCATCCGGTGAGAACACTGCCAAACATTGAACCAGTGTTCCGGCCCGAAGTGACACCTAAACGACACACCCAAAAGTAACTCCGGCTTGGAGAGGAAAGTCTGGGGAAGACACCTTTCAAGGGGAGCCAAAGGTTCAACAAATAGGGATTGGTTGCTTTAAGCTTGCTTTTGCTTTGGCAAGATCCAGTTCAAATCCGAAGGAGGTACCAAGGGCTCCGAAAAAGGTGGGACATTCATTCCAGGAAAGCTAGACAAATGGAAATACCAACAGGTTGACAGCTTGATTCCTGTCGAGCTAAATTCCAGGGAAACCAACGCTCAAACTTGTTGGAATCCTAAAAATGGTCAACCAGCCAACAAGGCCCCGCCCCCTTGATCTAGCAGGGCAAGTGGGTGTCCATGGCATGGCATGATCAAGGCCAAATGCATGAACCCATATGTCAACTGGTTTGAAGCGATTGACACGTCAAACTTATTTCGGTTTAATCATCCCTGTTAAATACAAGGGAATTGCGCCGTCACTTTCACCCTGGTTTTGTGGCTCAACTCTGCGACTCCCGCCCATTCTGGCTCTATGGTGCTTCATGAACCTTCAAAATTATTCCTACGAGACGTCGCTGGTCTGTGGAAATATTGGTGGGATCGCAACATGGAGTTTGTGACCTCACCGGGAAAGACTCATAATGACTGCTCCTTTCATGGGTGAATTCTATACTTGCGGCAGGCCAACGGAAAGCGCCATTCCCATGCTCCCTACCTAAGAAGCAAGAATCAGGGTTGTATGCAGTAAATCAGGAGATGGAGACTTTATGCCGCAAGGCTTCGGATGTGCATCCGTGCTTTCCGAGAGCCAATGATAACTCTGTTGCGCATGGGTCGCTTGCACGCCCCATTACTCCCTCCAATTTCAAGATGTCCAAGTCTGCCAGCTGTTGAAAGGTCCCTGCAAAGGGGAACACCCACCAAACATTGATTTGGCCATGGGTCAAAACCAATGGTACCCCCAGTGAACATCCCAATCCCCACTAAAATAGACTAAAATGGGAGGTGCACCTACCCCAAAATGGTACCATTGGTTTTGAATCATGGCCATTTGGGCTTGTCTCAGAATAGGATATGGGGAAGCCTCACGCTACATGCTTGGATTCCCTTCAAACTAAAGAGGCTACCCTCCAAAACCGAACGCCCCCGCACTTGGAATTGGACCTGTTTAGGCTTGATGTCATCTTTAGAGGGCAGCCAAGCGAACAAAAGCGACAAAGGAACACATGCTCGGGTTTCTAAGTTGCAAACCAAAGGAGGGAAAGTGAGATCCGCAACGACATCAATCAAAGGATGCCTTTGTTGACGTTGAAAGGGGAGCAACAAAATGAGTTTTCGCAGTCAACCAGTAAACCACAAAGAGCACAAATCCAAAATGCTTCCCCTCCAAAACGAGAGACCTAGAGTCTCCGTGACCCTTTAACAATGGTTGGCCATGACCCGAATCTTTCTTTTGGGTAATGACCAATCAGTTTTAAAGGGTCAGAAGGAGAGTCTAGGGATTTGGAGTTCATCTCTTCCACCCATAAAAAAAGCTCCCCCCCCGAAGACGGTCTATCTTCTACCTATAGAAGGAGAATAAAAGAAGAAGAAACCAAAAACACCCCCTGGGATCTGCACAAGACGCGCCCATCATGACTTTCCGCGACTCTTCTTGCAGTCCCGGAGCCTCCTCGGCCAGGAGTTCTTGTACCTTGGCCCCTCGCTCTGCCGCCTGCCGCATACAAACTTTCTGGCCGCCCCAGCTCTAAAGACTCGTCCCACCGCAAAAAGCTTAACTTGTTGCAGGTTAGAAGGAAATATGAGGGGTAAGCCCAAAGATCCAACCCAATAGCAGTAGAGTTTTTTTTAGGGTACCACTTTTCAAAGCGGTTGGCTTAAAGGAAGGCGAAAGGAACATCATGTGTTGGGTCAATCTTTGCAAACAACATGTGATAAAAGGACATTCTTCCGGGGGACCCTTTTTTTTTGGGATTCCATGTCGATGTGCGTCGGGTGTTAGACAGTTCGGGGCTGGCCTGTTTGGACAGAATGGCACGCCTGGGCGTGAACAAAAGAAGGGGCCAGAAGGAAAACCGGAAAACCGCCCGAAATCGTGGGCCCCATGGGTGCCGCCTCTCGCCCCATGTCACTCGAGGCTAGCAAGGGCCGTTTGGCCGCCTCTCGCCTCTTTTAAGCGACCGAGCCCTGGTTCAACTGAACTGGGAACGCGGAAGCTCAAGGGGACAGGCAGCTAGCCAGCCAAACCAAAAGTATCCTAGGAACACGGAAGACAAACTGTTGAGCTTGGCAACTTGGTAGAACAGGGAAAAACACGCTGACTCTGAGAAGCCCAGAATCTGCTACATCTTGAATGCTGTCGCACCCACGAACATGCAATCCACTTTAAGGTCCTTCTAAGAGGAAGCGGCATCTAAGGCAGTATCACGATTCATCGAGGCTACACTCTCAAAACGATCCTGTGGTGACAACGAGTTCACGCTCCTCAAACGTAGCTTCAAGAGCACCCTGCGAAACAAGATTCACTTTCAGGAAGGGAAGCAATAAATCAAAGTTTAGCAGTTAAGCGAGATTTTCCCACCGAACCACAACAAGCACAAATGTAAACATGTTTCCCAACAATAACCTAGGTCCTCCAGTAGAGAGGATAGAATACGGGTAGTCTACTGTAGTAGGGGAACCCTCCCCAAAAAAGGAGGTAAAAGGGCACTACTGGGGGACCTAGAAAACACAATTGGTGTCCTACGTCTGTTTGCTTGATCAGCAAATGGCACCCTTTACAACCATTGGTATGGTAGGAAGAAACTTTGTTCTTGTCGCAGGCCCCTACCAAAAAATGAACAGCACCAAAAACCCCGCAAAACCAAACAACTTGTCAAGAACAGTGAAGCAGCGGTTTCAGGTTGGTTCTCATTTGTCAGAGCCAAGCCTCAATCAAACCTGGGTAGCTGAACTTCACCTAGGGAACAGCAGGATACTCCTTGGGCTTTGCCAAGGGCAACGGCTAACATCACCTAGGTCCTCCAGTAAAGAGGCTAGAATAAGGGTACCCTTTTCTTTGTAGTCTGTTTGAGTAGGGGAAACCTCCCCCAAAAAAGGAAAAAGGGAACTACTGGGGGACCTAGATCACTGTTCTTTCCCGAAAACCAGCTCAAAAGCCTCATACGACTGGTGGGCGTCGGCTCCGTCCAACAGTGGTTTTTAAGGAGTACCTAGGCTTCAATTCACGTGGAACCTGACGTTTGGGGAGTCCCGGAAGGCCCTATTTTCCTAAAGGGTTACCATGTCCCTGTCAGGCTGCCGCGCAAGCAAAAAAGGAAAAGAACAAGCAATCACCAACGACGTATATATATATATATATCTACTACTACAACAAAAAAAAAAAAAAAAAAACGGCCGTTGCGAGCGCCCTTGCGCGCCACGGCTTGCGCGCCCTTGCCCGCAACGGGCCGGCCTGCCAGCCGCCCGACTCGAGCACCTGCAGGTCCTCATCCAGCAGCATGACTGCATCGTAGCTGGAGGAGGACAAGGTCTGGTGGGCCTTCAGCTGCAGTCCTCAGCTGAGCTTCCCCGTTTAGGTGGTTTTCCGGTGGCCGCAACTCCCCATTCTTCTACCTTCCCAAGCTGGCTTCTGAAAAGACCGATGGTTGAAAGAATGGGGAATCAACCCCTAGGATTCTGAAGAGATAATCCAATTATCCCCCAAAAAGGAGCAAACGCAAAGCACTGAGTGCGCGAGTGAGCAAACCCTAGGAAATCAACCCTTGATTTGGAGCCCGGTGCTTTGGATTCGGATTTCAAGGGGAAGACTTTTGCAGAGGTAAAGTGGGAAACCACCGCCTTGACCACCAATCCAAATCACCAAGATAGAAGCTGATAGGTCTCTTGCTTTACTCAGCTTCCCTCGAAAAAAAAATGGAGCTGTTAAGTGTCCCTGGTTCTTATTAAGACCCTTGGGTCTGTTTGATTGGGATGGTTGGTCACATCCTCACATCCCAACAAGTTGACCTGTTGCAATCGCTCCCCACGTCCCGTGTAAAAATTGCCCAGCGATAAGAATAAGAAAGCCTTGCGGTAAACAATTCTTGCCGGGGTCACTGGGCAAGCCTGCAGTGTGCCATACGTCAAGTTTGTGAACCACCTTTAATAACGAACCACCTTTAATAACTAATCTTCCCAGCCCCCAGTCCAGAAGGAAAGTTTAAAAATTCGCAGTGCCCCAGGTACGACTGTGGATTAAGACCACCATTTCTATTCCCCATCAAATGTTTAAGACATATTCCAGACCCTGGTCAAAACACGCGGTTCTCTTAACATGTTGATCGACCGCAGGCTCCTTTAATGAATTTGATCACCCACCCACTGTCAAAACTTGGCAACGCGTCCAGTCAACTTGGGGCGCGTGGCAGGAGCCCACCCATGTTTTTTTGGCAGATTCCTTGGTTGCTTTTGACCCCCCTGCAAAAAGTAAATAACTTTTTGGGGGTTTAGTGGCCATTATTTCAACCAAAAAGTTAAAGTCTAAAGATCGGTTGCCCAATAGCACTCAGGGTGGTTTCCTTTTAAGGGAATCCACTTCCGGTTCATTCCCAAACCCTGGGTCATTCCATACCTATCGCACCAGCAAGCAAAAGAGCCTTGGTAAGCGTCCACTTGCTTAGAGGTGAGCTCCTTCCGAACCTGTCAAACCCGGAACCAACCCTTGGCTTGGGTAAAAGCCCTTCGTATGCCCCACGTTTCAATACGTGAGCTTCTTTTTTATCCTTATGTTTGCACCGGGGCAGAATGAACCATCTGACAACTAGAGATCAGAAGCCCAAACCGAAGCACGAAACAAGTCACAAGAACAAAGCAACAAGTGACATGTTGTCTAACCCAACCACCTAGACAAGCTCAAGTGTCTGATGGACATTTACCAGCCTGCCTCAAAGAGCAACCTCAGTATTGATATCCCACTCTTTTAATCTGTCCTTGTAGCAAGCCACCGGCTATTCCCTGGGCATTGCATGAAGGCAAACCAAAATTGAGTCAGAAAGGGAAAGCACAGCTAGAGTAACTTAAGACATGTGTTGAGATCTAAGGGTTGTTGTAGTACATCTTGGGATTACACCCACTGGGAAATGACCCCATCCAGGCACATTTCCGGATAAGACCGTGCTATGTCGAACCATTGTGGGTCATTTCCCAAGGGTGTACTCCCAGGGTGTAATACAAGAACCCTTAGAGGAGAAGGACTCTTTCCGTGATACCGAGGGCATCCCCTTGGCCGATTTCAGCTTGGGGTTTTCCCCATTCGACCATTGAAAGCTTGGAAGATGGTTAGTAGTTAAGGTGTGTATGTCCTGTGACCGGACGAAATCCTGCACCAATTTGAAACCATGGGAAACCATTGCTTGTTGGTATTTACAGGGGAAGCATGATTCCAGGATATTCCAGGGTTTCTTAGGTGGTGCGAATTGGATTTCGTCCATCCACCGTATGCATACGAATGCGCGCACATACAGAGAATATCCACTCTGCGGCGTGCCTGGTGCAGCTTCCTCGACCCCATTGGCTCAGAAAAAGGGAAGCCCCTTGTTTGGGTTTCGATGTTGGGTCCCAACCCAACCGAAGAGGGATTTGGAGGGGCAACTCCGCAAATGACCAACGAACCGAAGCGACAAGCCGAAGCCCCGAAGCCACGCCGAGGAGCGCAAGTTATCGAGACTTTGGCTCTGGACAGCCAAGAAGAGCAAGATCTGGCATAGGTTGGGACTTGCTGTTTTCGCCCAACGCAACGTTCACTGGGAGTTAGCAGAGCCGTCAAATCCCATTAGCAGGCTGGGACTTTGGGATTCCGCCCATCGGGGTTGGGTGACCTTCGATTAGTTGGGTTACCTCCCCCCGGCCCCATTTGGGCGAGAAACGTTCAACCCGCTGACCAAATGGCCCCAACAAAAGCTTCACCAAGGGTGGCTTCCTGACTTCCCTCTCAAGTCCCGACTTCCGCAATTGAAGGAGTGGCAGGTTTTGATCCCAGAAGCTTGGAAAGCGAAGATTGGAGATTCTTGGAAGCGACGTTGGGCTTGGGGAGCAAAAAAATCAAATTTTAGCAGCTAAGTGGTTGGATTTCAACCACTAAACCACAATAAGCAAACATGTAAAATGTTTCCCAACGACAACCATGGATTGCCCCCTCAGTTGCGTGAGCTGTGCCAAAAGCTTTTGAATCGAACAATAAAGAAAGCTTGAAAGCACGGGTTCAAGCAACTTGCGATCGGTGCGATAGGGAATGACCGAGACCAGGTTTTGGGAATCAACTGGAAGGGCATTCCCTTAAAGGAAACCATGGGGCATGGCTTCTGGGGGACCATTCCCTCATTTCCTGAGAACCAACATACCTATGCGAATTTGAACAGAAAACAAACGACTCGGCAAACCCTCCGAACTAGAGAGAAGCCAACTGTTTTTGCTTGCCAACAATCAGGCGCCCGCCAGCACAAATAAGCAGGAACCGCGCTGTTGTTTGATCCCCCCCAGATAAAAGACACGTCCGCCGGCTCGCCTAGCGCCGACCTCCCTTCCCAACTCCA